GCTTGGATATTATCCAAAAATGCAATGCATATTATTACTTATGAAAACAAAATAGACATAAAATATAATATCCTCTCAAAAATGTATAAGTGCCATCTTCATATTTTGTGAGATATGCACAGATAAAAAGGAGTTATTGATTTAATGCGCAATAGCGTTGATTCAACCATATGGCGCTCTTGAATAGGACCAACCAAATATTTTTTGATTTTTCTCCAGAACTTTCTTGACTGATTCATGAAAGAAACTCGTGAATCGAATAGATATTTCTATATTATCACAGTACGTATTGGTCGACGAAAGAATTGATTAGTTTGAAACAAGAAAATTCTTCTATTGTCAAGTTAATCTCCCATCATATTTCAACAATCTAGAATTTTCGAGCATGTTACAAATAGATGAATCCCATTATAATAAGTTAATATTTTTTCAGAAGATCCTTATTTTCTTCTAATATCAGATAAGAAAATGAAATCGACAACATACAAAGTACCCCATTGATTTATATCAAACACAATAAAACAAGAGCAACTTCATGTTAGAGCCGTAGAAAAAGGATATTTCATGTAACATTTGGAATTTTAGAACAATTTAGTAAAGAATGGAGCTGAAACAGGATATACATCATATATGGGACAAAAATGGGACCAAAATGAGAGATACGTTTTGAATCTATAAGGACGGAAAGTGAAGGATGGAAACTGATGACGTGAGGATCAGATTTCAGATTTTAAGTTAGGTTGGGTTCGATAATGATTATTTGATCACAATAAAATGTTGAAAATCATCAATTATTGATGATACCACAGTATATAGTACCATAACACTTGTTGTACAAATAAAAACGTGAATATTCGAATCTCAATCACAATCAATCACATATGCGCTAAGAGCTATTTGAAAATTTGAAAATTTCAAAATTGTAGCCATATTGGTTTATCAAGTTTCGTATTATTTATTCCTATACGTCGGCATCAACTATTGGTCTTCTTCGTTACCTATAGAGACAGAAGTTGGTCCCGCTTTGAAGACAACTATATGCTTCATATGAGTAGTAGATATATGATATCCATGAACAAGAATCTAAATCAGTCCAATCCTCCTGTTTCTACATATATACATTGTATATTTATTCCGGATTCAAATTGAATGGTCAAATGTTTCAACATGATGGAATTTGTATAGACTTCAGTTCTGGGAAAAAATGTCCAAATGAACTGATGGTAGCGTTTACTCAAAAACCGTTCAAATCCAGAATTTTATGGGAGTATATCATTTCTAAACGTTGGATCCTTGTCTCAATAGGTATGAGGTTGAAGCCTTGCCAGAATTGAAAGCAATTTTCCGACAGGAGCATTGGAAATGATCACTTCATGGTCGATTTCTTGAAGATAAACAGATTAATAAATTACCACTCACTCGTTTTTCAAAGGCTAATGATATAACTCTGGTTAGGTTAGGTAAGGTTAGACCCTTGCTAGAGCTAGAAACAAATTTTCCGACATGAGCATTGAAATGGAACAACGCAATGTTTCGGCATTATAGAAATGATCACTTCAAGGACGATTTCAGAAAAACAAACAGATTAAGTAATTACCACTCAGTCGCTTTTCGAGGGCTAATGATATAACATTTTTCAGCTAAGGTTGAAGCCTTGTTAGAATTGGAAACCAATTTTCCGACATGAGCATTGAAGTGCAACAACGCAACGTTTCGGCATTATAAAAATATTCACTTCAAGGACGATTTGAGCAGAACAAACAGATAAATTAATTACCACTTAGTCGTTTTTCAAGGGCTAATGATATAACCTTGGTTAGGTTAGGTTAAAGCCTTGCTAGAATTGGAAACAAAATTCACGACACAAGCATTGAAGTGGAAGAACGCAACGTTTCGGCATTATAGCAATGATCACTTCAAGTACGATTCCAGAAAACAAACAGATTAGTGAATTACCACTTAATCGTTTTTCAAGGGCTAATAATAATATACCCTTTGAACCCATAGACTCATAGAGAATAATCCTATTCATATAAGGTAACCGCGCGACATTAACGCAGTCAGGAGAAATATCATTTGATGGTTTCGGCATCAGGAGAATCGCAGGAAGCAAACAGGAAGTCTAGCTGAAACCGGGCATGCGTCAATTCGACTAAGTATTCGGAATATTCAATATTCAGTAAAGACATATGCCTTGATAGTGTGGGGTGCATCAACTCATTCTACAAAAATCTTCATTTCACAACAAAAATTCTAAGGATAATGACAGGAGTAAGTTATACAGAACATTGCAAACCATTATTCAAACGATTAAATTCATTAAATTATTAGTTTGAATAGTTTATTTCTTTCTCTTACAACTGCTATTAGCACTCTTGCTAGAAGGTTTTCTCCTTTTCTTCTTTTTAGTTACTGCTCGTTTAACAACCCTTTTCTTCGCTCTTATACCTTTGGGTATACATAGTTCAATCTCCCTAGAAGGGGTTCCACAGATTGTTGTTTCAACAGTTGGGGACCTTTTCCATCTTCTGCATTTCTTCTTTTTCTTCCGTCCCCAGTTTACTAGCGACCTTGATCTTCTCCTAGGCGTTCTTACTTGATTAGCCATATTCACGTAAGGGGATTTCTCTCTTGCGTTCATTAGTTTCCAAATTTCTGCACCACGCTTGCATATCTCCTTCATGTCGAGTCTCTTCTTATGTAACTTCCTGAAATCCCTCAGGAAATTCAGGAAAGGATTTTTGAATACTTTTGTGCTGCTGAGGAGCTTCGTCTTTGAATCACAGCTCGTAACCAAAATCGAACTGATCTTCTTCATTATCACGAATAGTCGATAGTTTTGTACAGAAATTTCATTCCAACAACATCTTTGACAGCTTGTCGTCGGTTGAACTCTTGACATCTATTATTATGAGATGGTTGCACATTATCATCATCGCATAATGAAGTGGAGATCTACTCCGAACTGGAAATATTTGTCTTGTTGATTGTTCAAACTAATTCGAATCAGATGATTGTTTTTCTCCTAGAAAAAAAGCAAGTGTGATGAAGATCTTAGGTCAAGAAAAAGATAAGTATTCTCATGAATTGTCAAGCTCTAGATTAATTATCGCCCCCAAGCCTGTCACAAGTTTTGGACACTCGGAAAAGTTCGACCATCTTTTGGCTTCTGTTCGCATGTCTTGGATTCATTTCCATGCACTTACTGGGGTTGCTCGTGTCATTTTATAGAAGAGCCATCAGTCTCATGAATGATCCATGTCAAGATCACTGCGAACCTCCACCTTCTGCTTGGCAGGACCCCTTAATAGGTATGTTCCTTTGTATTGCTGAACTTGTTGAAATGGATTCTGTTCCCATAGTTGTATCTGTTCTTGGCAATATGTAAACACAGAAAGTCATAGGAAAAAATCAAGTTCAGCAGGTAGAGCTAACACAAACGAATAGGCCTAATGATTGGACTACACAGACTACACGACCGTCCAGTGTTTTAGATAACTGGAATTCAATTGCCTTTCAGAGAAGGATCCACCTCTCAATGCTTGCAGCTTCGCATCGGAACCATAGGTTCAACCTGTGCTGGTACTTCTGAATAAGGAAAGAAAATCAATTCAGAATCTCTTTCTTTTCGGAGTAGAACATGAATATTTCCGTATATTTCATATGTATTCAGTGGTTTCATGTCTTCTATCCAGCAAAATCGACAATTTGATAATTTTTTTGTATTGTATTTCGTTTCTGTGTATCTATGTATTATGTTTTATGTATTTTATTTACAAGGATTTTGACGTTTCGAACACAATGTTATCATCGTCTAGAGGAATAAAGATTTGATTGATTTGATTGATTGATTGATTGATTGATTGATGAGCGTCATTTATAGGAGGGGCAACTGCCCGCCCCCTCCTGGTTTTCTTCAAAAAATAATTTCACAATGTATCTTCCTGTATCATTGACACAAAAGAGATCAGTACTTTGCTCCTCCTCCTTCTAGACCTCACTATCTTGTATCTGGGGGCTTTCTTGGAGATGTTAACGTAGGGGGATTTCTCCCTAGCACTCATCGATCTCCATAACTCGTCGCCACGCATAGTGAGTTCAATTGCTCCAAGCATGTGCTTGTTGGATTTCCAAATGTCCTTCATGGAGTTGTAGAGCTATAGATTACTTACAATATCGCGAACATAATAAAGATCGACTCTTAGCAGGAGGAATCTAATTGTTTAACCATGAAGGATTCCATCTATTACACTTTCAATACACTCGGTAAAGTTGAAATTGCCATCTCTTGACTGCTGATTCAATACTGACTAAACCACTGGAAACCTTACAACATCGACGAAATGTTGCAGATTTGTCCCTCCCTCATTGTTACTATCATGGAAGATGGTATGTTGCAGTATCATCAGATGTTCCTCTTGGGATGAATAATTATATTCGATGAACTTGGTTGGCTTTAGAATAACATCTATATGGACCTAGAATTATTGTTGCAAGAATGCCTTTTCTATAAGACATCGTTGATTCAGAATATTACAACAACGGACGTCTTCATTTCCAGGGAACTGAAATTGAGTAATCATCAAGAGAAGTATCTACCCCTTTGTGCTTGCAATTTCGCAACGGAACCATAGGTTTCACCTTGTGCAAGTACTTCTGAATGATGAAAGGAAAGGTATGCAGAATGTTCATCATTCAAAAGTATACTACTGATGAATGAGTATATTGTATGTCTCCCTGTTGTTTCATGTACTTTATTTACAACGTCATCGAAGGTTGAGAAGTATCACGATACACACCTCTACTTCCCTCAAAACAGAGATTTATTAATTTTGATCAAAATATGATGGTTGTAAATAAAATAGTATACACTATAGTGTACCAAACCATAATGTGTCAGCAAACCTGTCTTAATGTATGGCAAATAAGAAATTACAAAAATACTATGCACAACAAATTTTTTTCCAATTGACATAACATCATAAGAAACAAGATATCACTCAAATATAATCTCTCCTTATATCGTCGTAATCAGCAGATTTCAGTCTGTACTCTCCATCCTCCTTCCTCCTATCACACTCCCCGAATTTGTGGACACTTTTCTTCTCTACTCTCTCATTCAAGATCTTGCTTTTATTCGCCTCATCGCTTTTCTTGTCTTTCCTGGATCGCTCTCGGGATCGATCCTTCTTCTGTTTTCTGTACCTCTCGACGCTCTCTTCCGCCATTGAAGAGGAACTGCTGCGGCGTCTCCTCCTGCCTCTCCTGCTACGTTTCCTGCTCCTGCGCCTCCTCCTCCTTCTAGACCTCACCATCTTGAATCTGGGAGTTTTCTTGGAGATGTTGACGTAGGGGGATTTCTCTCTAGCACTCATCGATCTACATAACTCGTCGCCACGCATAGTGAGTTCAATTGCTCCAAGCATGTGCTTGTTGGATTTCCAGATGTCCTTCATGGAGTTGTAAAGCTATAGATTACTGACAATATCGCGAACATAATAAAGATCGACTCTTAGCAGGAGGGATCTCATTGTTTACCAATGAAGAATTCCATCTATTACACTTTCAATACACTCGGTAAAGTTGAAATTTGGCCATCTCTTGACTGATGATTCCACACTGACAAGATCACTGGAAACGTCACAACCTCCCTCATTGTTACTATCATGGAAGATGCTATGTTGCAGTATCATCAGATGTTCCTCTTGGTATGAATAATTATATTCGATGAACATGGTTGGCTTTAGAATAACATCCATATGGACCTAGAATTATTGTTGCAAGAATGCTTTCTTTATAAGACATCGTCGATTCAGAATATCTCAACAACAGACCTCTTCATTTCTAGGGAACTGAAATTAAGTAATCATCAAGAGAAGTATCTACCTCTTTGTGCTTGCAGGGAACTGAAATTGAGTAATCATCAAGAGAAGTATCTACCTCTTTGTGCTTGCAGTTTCGTAACGGAACCATAGGTTTCACCTTGTGCAAGTACTTCTGAATGATGGAAGGAAAAGTATGCAGAATGTTCATCATTCAAAAGTATACTACGGATAAATGAGTATATCGTTTGTCTCCCTGTTGTTTCATGTACTTTATTTACAACCATATAATTATGTAATGTTGTCATTACTGACGTCATCGAAGGTTGAGAAGTATCACGTTACACACCTCTACTTCCCTCAAAACAGAGAATTATTGATTTTGATCGAAATATGATGGTTGTAAATAAAATAGTATACACTATAGTGTACCAAACCATAGTGTCTCAGCAAACCTGTGTTGGTGTATGACAAATAACAAATTACAAAAATACGATGCACAACGAATTTTTTTCAATTGACATAACATCATAAGAAACAAGATATCACTCAAATATAATCTCTCCTTATATCGTCGTAATCAGCAGATTTCAGTCTGTACTCTCCATCCTCCTTCCTCCTATCACACTCCCCGAATTTGTGGACACTTTTCTTCTCTACTCGCTCATTCAAGATCTTGCTTTTATTCGCCTCATCGCTTTTCTTGTCTTTCCTGGATCGCTCTCGGGATCGATCCTTCTTCTGTTTTCTGTACCTCTCGACGCTTTCTTCCGCCATTGAAGAAGAACTGCTGCGGCGTCTCCTCCTGCCTCTCCTGCTACGTTTCCTGCTCCTGCGCCTCCTCCTCCTTCTAGACCTCACCATCTTGAATCTGGGAGCTTTCTTGGAGATGTTAACGTAGGGGGATTTCTCCCTAGCACTCATCGATCTCCATAACTGGCCGCCGCGTCTAACGAGTTCCGTTGGTCCCAGCTTGTGCTTGTTGGATTTCCGGAGGTCCTTCATGAAGTTGAGGAAGGGGTTGGGGTAGATTTTGGAGGGAATCCGCCTGACTGGGGTACGGCTCTTGCGCGATATCTCGCTCTTGGATTGACGTTGGTCCATTTTCACACGTGAATTTAAGCGCGTTTATAGTTTAAGAAGACATGACTGATAGCGTGAAATTGTTTGTGACGTTTGAAGGTAATGTCAGATCGTGGTTACGAGAGGTTGATCGAATCAAATCAAGAAACCTCGACTACAGAGTGGTTTAGTTCAGATTGGCAGGAAACTAGCAACCTAAGAGCAGATGGCATTGGTGAGGTCGCAGTTTATGTAAGCTGTCAATCATTCTCTATTCATTTCCATTAACGACACTCCATAACAATTCGTTATCAAGATGACTAAATGTTGGGTTATCAAGGGTTCTAATTCATATGTTTCGTTCTTTTCTTGACAAAGGTTTCGCATTCTTTCTCGAAAAAAGTATTTCTAAGAACATATTAGTCCAGTAACTTTGTCGCCTGAAAATATGGGGGTAGTATGCGTCAAATCCTTCAGTTCTGATTTTTTGCAGACTTGTTCATGATGTTGGCCTAATGATTGATCCAAGTTTGTGACCTCGAGCACCGAACGCAACTTTGTCAAAAATCGAAAGAATCGTAGTTTTTTCAAATTTTGGCGATTATAACCCTGAAGGACTAGTTTTTGGAAAAAATCTTTCATGACGTTTCCAAAGCAGATCGAATTTGCTACAATATGATACAAATACTGTCTCTGTAGACCCAATAGTTTCAGAGATTGAGCCTTTCAAAGTTTATAATTTTTTCGAACTTCGCAATTTTTCGCAATGTTTTAGGCGTCACTCGAATATACTCTAGCGGGATGAAGTTTCAATTACCTCCGATGGAGTGTGCTATTACTGTTCGTGTGAAGTCACGAATGCGTCCCACATGCACAGATTCCACAACAGAAATTCGTGTCAAACGACAAAAACAAGAATCGTTTTATAAACCTGCTGACAACAAAAATGGAAAGTCACAACATTCGAGTACTCCAAGCAGAGGAAGATGCTGATAGGCTCATCATCACTACAGCTATAACTGCTGCCTGTACCTATGATATAGTGGAAGTCGTTGGTGAGGACATTGACTTGCTGATCATCCTCACTGCCATCTCAAACCAACGTGAAATTTTTTACAATAAATGTGGAAGAGGCATAGCATCAGATGTCATGTATTCCAGCATTGCTTCTTCAAAATCTTCTTTGAAATCAGAGCATTTGCCCTTCATCCATGCCTTCAGTGCTTGTGATTCGATATCCTGCTTCTTTGGATCAGGGAAGAAACAAATAATGTCCATAGTCGAGAAAAATCCTGCAGGCACTGCAGTGGGGCCTCTTGTGACGATGTACCTGATGTAGTAGTAGATATCCTAGAAGGCGACGATCTGTCCGATGTTGAAATGGAGGATGACTTGTGCGCAAAAGACATCGACGATTCATCATCAACCCCTGATGGGGATATGCCATCCCAATACGTCGATCCAGATCCAGACGAACCTCAACCGGGACCTTCCAAGAGGGCTAAATTGATCTAATTTTTTGATCTTTAAAATTACTCAATTTTTTAACAAATGAACTCATCAACTTTTGTTGTACTTATCTTTTTCATTTCATTATTCGTAGCTCAGCTTAAACATCCTCGTTCACAGTCCTCATTTTCTTTCTTATCATCTCATCATGAATGTATGTACAGGGCTTCGATTGGGTCAAAATTCAATCAGAACGACAGGATTGCAAAAAAATTGCGAATATCGAAAAAATTATAAACTTTGAAAGGCTCAACCTCGGAAACTAATGAGTCTACAGAGACAGTTTTTATATCATATTGTAGCAAATTTGGTCTTCTTCGAAAACGTTCTGAGAGAGTTTTTTTCAGAAGCTAGTCCTTCAGGGTTAAAATCGCCAAAAACTGAAAATACAAACGATTTTTCCGCAGTTTTTTCGATTTTTGACCAAGTTGCGTTCGGCGCTCAAGGTCAACAACTTGAAATTATTCATAAGGTCCACATTATGAACAAGTCTGCAAAAAATCAGAACTACCGGATTTGACGCATACTGTGATGCATAAAGTTACTGGACTATAATGACTAGTCTAAGTCTTTGAATCAAATTCTGAACAAACTTTGATTCGAGATTGTCTATGATTAAACTATAATATTCGTTGAAAACTTAAGACACAATAGATTCATGACAACCATACGCCCAACTCTTGCAACGCTTGCTCATTACATATTCCTGAGGAATCGTTAGTTCAAGGAATATTTAATATTTTTGATTCAAATATGAGCTTTTTGATAGTAGGTGAAATATTGTACTATATTCGTATCGTAAACTCATATTACGATAATCGATGGGTTATCAAACTCGGCCTTCGGCTCGTTTGACAAATGTTCCATCTCATATCGTAATACGAGTCTTTACGATACTCGTATCGTAAATATCTATTACTCGTGGAGTGGAGTGAGACATCTTGTCTAAAAAAATTTGTTCGATGAATGTACTCATATCGACAGGTTAGGTTAGGTTAGGTTAGGTTAGGTTAGGTTCAGGCTCCACGTGAGAACTATCATGCATTCAATATTTTCATAAAGTTTACTAGAACTGAACTTCTTTCGAATGACGTTCATTATCGGTCAAAATGGCTTTCATGTCCCTATCTCAACTTCTGATTTAGGAAGCTTGGCGAGGAGTCCGTCGTGCCAGACTCGATCGAATGCCTTGGAGATATCAGGGGGCCTATTCTCGAATGTCGAACGAAATATGTCGTATGCGACATATGTAGATAGAAATTGTTGCACAACGTTCAAGTGTGGTATTCTCGATTGCTTTCGACTTCAAACTCGCATGAGACACATTTTGTCGAATAGCATGAACTGGCAACATCGAATTAACGATTCTCGAATGTGTTCTGACTGCCAATGTAGTGTGGTTTCTTTGTTGTTATGATATGAGGTTATGTCAATGTTATGTTGAAATAATAATGGCAGTGGAAAGAAAAAAAGGTATTGTGCTTCTTCTCGAAAGGAGACACTCAAATTGAGGAAATAAAAAATAGAATGAGCCACTTTTATCTGGCAAAAAAAATGCAGAAGACCCATGTTTTTGTACCACAAATGGTTCTAGCAGTGCAATGGACTCTCACTTATTCCTCACCCAAATGTTTTTTTACATTTTATGTGCGATAAAAATCTGAACGCATTCTTATATATTATGTTCTCTCGTGGCCGTTGATGATTTTCTTGATTTTCCAAATTTTCAATTTCTATCAATGAAGCTACCATTCTCAAAATAACAAGTGAAAAAATCAGTCAAATATTCAATCTCGCATTCGACATGAAAATGTCGACTGCTTGAGACCACTCTACAATTTGTCTATCGAAAATTTTCGAATGCGTCATTCGAGAATGAGCATTCACGTTTTTTGTTCGACAATGTACTAATCTCGCATGCGACAAAATATCTCACCATTTGAGAATAGGGTCCCAGGTGCCACGGCTAAGGTTTCATCATATTCTTCGATGGAGCACACTATATCTCTCTATCCTATCATCTCACATTGACACTATCGAAGCAGACAAGTTTGAATGTACTT